CTTAGAGATCAAACATCTTCAACCACTGCATGGCCTAACATGAAAAACAACTAAATAAATTCTTTTTTTCATAAATTCCAACATAAAAATTATTATTAAAATTATTTTTATTATTCTTTTTCTTATTATCAGTTTTATTGAGCAATTTTTTGTAAAATGTTTGTGAACGTTAAATACAGACAAAAAATTATCCAGTGAAATTATTTTCAGTGCCACTATTCGACCTTTTATTAATTAAATCGATAAATTTTTGGCGCGCACTGCAGACGACTATCTCCGCGATCGATCAATTGTTTATCACTGAGAAGTTCCCGCCAAATTAATCGATTTTCCGCGATTTTCAATTAAACTCTCACTTCCAAAAAGATTTTACTCGATACCAAGTTTGATCGTATGCACGTGTAGTTGGAGGTCCTTTCTCTCTCTCTCTCTCTCTCTCCTCCCTCTCTCTCTCTCTCTCTCTCTCTCTCTCTCTCTCTCTTTCTCTTTCATTCCCCTCTCTCTTTCACTCTCACACACACACACACTACACATGCACACACACACACGCACACAGCATGAACACACACACATACCACACACAGAGACACGCACAAAACCACGCATACACATAAATCTAGACCAACATACATACGCCCATAAATGCACTTTTAAACCACACGTCATATGCGCAAGACAAGTAAAGGATAGATTAGTTGATTTGTTATTAATTGATTGATTTAATTATTAATTAATTAATCAGTCATTCAATTATAAGATATTCATTTTTATTTATTCAATAAATTAATCAATTTTAGAAAATTCATTTCTCGTTTAATTCTATTTAACAATTCATCAACAATTTGATCGCATAATACTCAAAAAAATTTTTAAATTTATTTCATATATTTATATGCAGGTGTTAGCATGTAGACATAAATTTTGCGGTAGTTTTATAACGGAAGAGGTGTCACAACTTGCTACCCATCGTGACAACGGGGGGGCTAGAATTTTGTGTGACCCCTTTTTGGTTTGCCAGTTCTCAATTTCTATCGTGAATTAATGAAAAATTATGTCAGCAATTGATAAGTTAGCGTGAATAAAAATGACGGTCGGCATTAATAAATTTAATGCTCCAACAGACCTCATTTTGAAAACTTCATGTGTCACACACACACACACACACACCACACACACGCACACACCACACACACGCACGCACACACACGCACACACACACACACATATGACAAACCCACGGCTCATCTATCTATCAAGCTATTCAATAACATAACGTCCCATAAATACATTGTTATCACACGAGCCATCGTTCATCGTACAGTTACAAACATACGAAGCTCTTTGCGAGCCTTTCCCAATTTATCTTCCTGAAATTATAAAATTTTACAAAGCTCTTTCTCTCTCTCTCTCTCTCTCTCTCTCTCTCTCTCTCTCTCTCTCTCTCTCTATTGCATATAGATTAATTTCAAATAAATGTGATAGATGTTGTTTAATTATGTTCATAACATGCTAGGAGCAGTGGGGTCTCGGGACGTCATTTCAGTAGAGCACATAATCGAATACTCCCATATGACAAAAAACGTAACATAAAAAACTTCATTTAAGAACAATGAACAACAACAACAACAAAATATTAAATAAAATACAAAGCGCATTTAATAAAGATGTTGTTCATGTAAATTCAATGTGTTTAATTTTCAACAATTTCTTCATTGAAACCGGTGTTTTTAAATATCCATGAAAGAATTACACCAAAGTTGGACTATACTTTTTTGTTAACGGCGCCTTTGTTTATGGAGGCCCGGAGACTGAGCCCCACCCACCTGTCCCGCTGCTGCTGTGTTGATACATGAAACAAACCACATATAAACAAATACCTCCAACGTCACGTGAACAAACCAGCCTAACCACAACAAACAACCCCAACAAACTCATTCAGGATTATTACGCCAGACTGATTAGAATCCTCTTCACATCAACTTGAAGTTGAACAACAGAAACAACATTAACACGATCAAACACGATCATAGTTGTGACAACAATCCCAATTTGTTTATACATTAATTCAATGGCATCAACGACTTACAACATCAACAACGACGTACAGCAACATCAACTACAACAAAATAATTGTTAGTATTCATTTTCCACATCGTGATTGTGGAAAGAGAACATTTCAATTGAATTTAGCAGCACGTCTCATAGTTTCGTACATAAACAGATATCAGTGCTCTCTGTACTACTGTGTATGTGTCTATGTGTATGTGACGATATGTTCGTCTGTGTGAATGTGGGTCGTTTATGTCTTTGTGTGTGTGTTTGTGTTGTGCTTCTCAAACTTTGTCTGTGTGTGTGTGTGTTGTGTGTTGGTCTACACCAGTGCTTCTCAAACTTTGTCTTTGTGTGTGTGTGTTTTTTAGAGTGTGTTGTGTGTGTTTTTGAGTGTGTGTGTATGTGATTAAAAGTGTCTGTGTTGGTTTGTATGTGTTGTTCAGTCTTCACGTAATTCCAGTCTTCTGTTTTTGTTCTAATGTGAAATTTTTATGAGTGTATGAAATGTTTTTTTCTATTTGGGTCATTGAATTTTTATTCATATTTTCTTCGCTTCGTCATTCATCAATAACCAATTGTTTTATTTATTTATTTCTGTTCGTTACTCTTCCTATTTTTTACATTCATTCAATCATATTCATTTTTCTGACTCTTTCCTTTCTTCAATCCAACTTTTGCCACCTGAAATCTTTCCACTTAATAAAAGGACCAATTAAAATCCAGTAAGATTCATTTATAATCCACCGACAGGTTCCATACATTCACTTCCACCATCTGCCGATCGTCATCCTCTTACCGTTTTACCATCTCATCATTTCATCCTCATTCCTTCATCATTTCATCCTCATTCCTTCATCATTTCATCCTCATTCCTTCATCATTTCATCCTCATTCCTTCATCATTTCATCCTCATTCCTTCATCATTTCATCCTTATTCCTTCATCATTTCATCCTCATTCCTTCATCATCTCTAACTTCTATACATCAATTAATTGGATGTATCACATCTCAGTAAGACTCATATACAAATATATAACAGGAGATATGTATATAACATTCGTATGAATAAATTTAACATACTAATATTTACAATTTACTGTATATATGAATATGCATATTTACACGCACTAATACTAATATATAATATGTCTTTGTATATATATATAATTTATATATATATATATCTTTTTGGGTTTAAACTATCATTTATAATTTTTAATAATAAAATATTTATAAATAATTGGATATTTTTATCTTTATCTATACACATAGAATGAAATGGTGCTAGTACAATATATAACATTACATAACATACCATAACAGTGTTAGTATAATATATAAGGTTAAATAACCGGACATATGTTCTTCTGCAGCATGCACCGGACAGCAGAGTTCCTTGCAAACGCATTATTTCTTCAATGGTTATTTTCGTCCCGGAGAGTTTGATTTAATATTTTAAAAAGAAGTTTCCGATCCGTGGTAGCACTCCTGGTGTAAGAAGAGCCATAAAATAAAAATGCAGCAAACGAATGTCAGATGTGAACAACGAATTGACTCTGTGCGTTAAAAAGTCATAAAGATGTGAAACCGACATTACATAAAACACAGGAAACTTTTGATGGAAGGCTAATCCAAGCGCATATATATTCAGCATCTGCTGCAACGAGATTTTTATCGAAACATTGATTTCAATGCTTGCTCCTTTTTATAAACAATTTTCCGTATTGGACTGAAAAAATTAGCTATATATTGAAATTCTTTGTGAACGATGAAAATGAATGAAAGATGAAAATGAAAAAAAAATATTTTCTCTATAATTGCGCGTCAACCAGGTTAAACTGCACGGCTGGTCACTGTAGCACATCACACACACACACGTGACAGGCGAAATAGAAAAAAATAAAAGTAAAAAAAAAACACTTTCATTTTTAGAATAAATAAAAGCTAGAAGTAAAAGGTCACTCTCTTTTGTGAACCTGTTTCAGATGTATCAACAACAATCACACACACACACACACACACATACACACACACACACCAACATCATTACACCTTAAAGACTACCACACTACACCACAGCTGACCACCACCCAACACCACAGCAGAACACGAACCAACCAACCAGCCAACCAGCCAGCCAATTGAAAACAACCTAATGTTGGGTAGATGTGCTATGAAGATAAGTTGATGTGCAGCAAATGTAATTGTTTATCTACCCTGGAGGGGAAGTTATTTATAGTGCAAGGTCATGACCTTTGCGTGTGCGTATGCGTCGCCTTCTTGTAGTTTTGTTGTTGTGGTAGTGGTGGTGGCGGCATTTCTGTGGCGTTGTGCTGCCACTGGTTTTGCTGTTAGTGTCTGTGTGTTGCAGCGAGTGTTGTCGCGTAGTTGCATGTGATTGTGGCGTGCATGCGTTAGTATGGGTGGCTGGTTGTTGCATGTTGTTTGTCGATGCGTGTGTTGTTTCGAAATTGTTGCTTAACCGTTTACGTGTTAGCACGCTGCTCTGCCGAGAACTTCTTCCATCTGTCTTCAGGCGGAAGGTAGAATTGCAGAGCTGAAAATGAGACGAAGACTAAATTTTAAATAGAATAATTTTGGTGAAACACAATCTTCAAGATATAAATACTTCGTTGCTATGTTTAGCACAGCAACAAAGTTGGAGAGAAAAAATTTTAGTTCAACCGATAAACACAAATCTGACACTGTGAATGATTTATATTATGGTGGAAATAGTCATCAGTTTATGAAGAATGTTCCTCGTCTGGTACATTTAACTCACACATAGCTACATACAAAAAAATTCTCATTTTAAGTAAGCAGATTGAGACAGATTATTATTTCTGTGATGAAAAGGCAGAGTTCAAATGTGGATGGATGGCATTGTATCTTATAGCACAAAAAATTACATTATGACTTTAACAACATTCAACTCTACAACTTAAGCATGACTCAAATTTACTTGTTGAATGCAGTTGTTAGTGTTTTTAGAAAAGTTTGTTCTACTTTAATAAAACAAATTACGACAAATCCGCTGATCGATACAGCCTCAAGGACACAAATACATTTGAAAAGTTTAAATTATAAGAAAGAGAAATTACTTCATGTTAATTTTTATAGAAGAAAGAATTATAAAATAATATAGTTTCAGTAGTAGAAGTTATTTTTATCATTCTTACGACAACTTCTAATTTATTTTTTGTTTTTTTTTTTTCATTCCATCATAGGCGTCTTTATCTTCAAAGTCATTGGAATGATGATAGCTTCATTGGAAATGATTTCGAGAAGATGTACCGTTGTGGCTGTATGCGTGAGAAGTTGGCAACAAATACATTTTGTATTTATATGTTTATTTTGTATTTCTCGTTTGCATGTTCGTTTTGTATGTTATGTATGTATGTATGTTTGTTCAGTTATGTTTGTATGCTGGTTTTGTATGTTAGTTTATGTTCGTTTTGTATTTCAAGTTTTTATTTTTGTGTATGTGTTTACATGTAATATTACGGTTTAAAATTGTTTATACTGTGTGTTAAATCATTATGTGTGAATGTAGTTTCTTTTCGCACACAAACGAAATGTATGTGCTTTGAAAAAACAAACAATTCATAAAAATTTTAATTTATGTCAGCGTTTTATGAAAATAAATTGCGTTACGTAGATCAAACTTGTTTGCTTGTGTCTGTGCACATTCTTTCAAATGTCTTCTGTGCATTACAATCTGTTTGCTGTCTCTTTGTTTTGTTTCTATGTGGTTGAATGTTTTGTATGTTTAATGTTGCAGTTGTGTTTGTTTGTATGTTTAATGTTGCTTATGTATTTGTATGCTTGTTTAATGTTGCATGTGTGTTTGTTTGTTTAATGTTGCATGTGTGTTTGTCTGTCTGTCTGTCTGTTTGTTTGTTTGTTTAATGATGAATATGTGTTTGTCTGTTGTATGTTATTTGTTTAATATGACGTCAAATGGTATATGTATGAGTGTGTGGTCGTTGTTTGTTTGCTACGATGTATGTATGTTTTTTATTGTTTGTTTGGAATAATGTTTATAGTCGTTTAGTCAATGCGTTTGTGCGTGTGCGTGTTTATGTGTGTGTGGTGTATGTGTGTGTGTGTGTGGTGTGTGTGTGTGTTGTGTGTGTGTGGTGTGGTGTGGTGTGTGTGTGTATAGGTAATGCCTCTCTGGTTCATTATTTTTTTACGTTATTTGGTTTGTAAGTTTCCTATGCTGCTTTGCATGCATTTTTTATTAAATTTTGTTTTTCTTGATTTTAACTACTTATGAAGATTTTTAATTTAATATAATTAATTAGTACTTAATTTATTAATTTAGTATAAATCTTTCGAGAATTAAATAAGTGAATGAACAAGATATTGGCAATAAGGAAGAGTTCTTCAGGTATATTAACAAAGAGTATAAACGGATTGATATGAAAGTGCTTAAGAGACATTTTATTGGCAGTTGGATAATGATTGAGAGGGAAATGATTTCTATAGTATTAATTTAGACATATAAATGACACAAGTCATGTTATGTATTATTTGCATGGGATGATGTGATGATAATATTATATAATTAAAACGAAACAATAAATCACAAACCGAAACACAACCGACCACAACTAGCCACAACCGACCACATCCGACCACAACCAACCACCTGCAGAATTGATCCAACTGGACGTCTGCATGTTCGAACACTTCAACATCTCCTGTCCCCCTCCATCAACGTCACTCACTTCATCATCATCCTCATCACAATCAACACCATTCACGCCACCACTCCTATCATCATCATCATCATCATCCTCTTCTTCTTCGTCGTCATCTTCGTCATGGGTGATGAAAGATCAGGTGATAATAATGAGCAGGGCAAGGTTGGGTCGTATGCGAGAGAGTAGGTGCATGCAGAGGAACTACGATGACAAGGGATGCAACGCAGATGTCCTTCATCTGATGGACAGGAAGTGCTCGGGTTGGTTGCCTGACTGGTTGATTGATTGATCGGATGGTTGGTTGATTTGCTGGTTGATCGGTTGGTTGGTTGGTTGTTTGGTTGGTTGGTTGCTTGACTGGTTGATTGATTGATCTGTTGGTTGATTGATTGCTTGATTTGCTGGTTGATCGGTTGGATGGTTGATTGGTTGGTTGATTGGTTGGTTGATTGTTTGGTTGATTGGTTGATCTGTTGGCTGGTTGGTTGATTTGGTGGTTGATTGATTGGATGGTTGTTTGGCAAAAGCTTAATTATTTTCGAATTTTTGTTGTACTAGACAATTTTATATTTAACTCTTTTTGAATTATTAAATGAAGTATAATTCAAATAAAATCAAATAATGTGGCCAGGCTCGATTAATTTTATAACCTATTACTTTGTGTAACGTTAATTAACCGTTCGTTTTTCAGCAGGCTGCTAAATAAGATTTAATTCAATGTTTAATTTTATTTAAATTCACTTTTAAATTCCCTTCGGCGTCGATCCAGGCAAATCCACTTGCGACTTCCCATTCCCTGACACGGATTTCTTCTCCGTCAAACCATGTCCGAAGGATTTGGCGTCATATCTGGAAGTGGCTTACTACTGCGTTTCCGGTTGGTTGGTTGGTTGATTGGTTGCTAGGTTGCTTGGTTGGTTGATTGGTTGGTTGTTTGGCTGGTTGGCTGGTTGGTTGGCAGGCTGGCTGGTTGGTTAATTGGATGGTTGGTTGATAGAATGTGAAAGGTATGTTTAAAAAATTTTCTTGATCAATGAATTCTTTAAAAAAATTTTTTAGTTGAATTTTGATAAAACCAATCATATTAGCAAATTTGAAAACAAACTGTTGAGTTATTTTGTTGTCATTATGATTGATTACTTTTAACTTTTTAAAAACAATAACCAACCAACCTACTTCTACCTTTCCACATCATCCACCTCCACCTTCCACACCAACAGTGGACACTCCCTCCACCACACCCTGCCACGCTGGCATCCACAAGCTCACATCACTGGACGGTTACATATCCAACAAGCCATACCACCACCACCACCGACACTTCCACACCCAGCAGCAACAAACACCAACCGGCTACAAATCACTCAAACACGTGACCACCGAGAGTAAACAAACGCCGCCATCTTGTTTCTGGATGATTGAAGCATTAGAGGGACAGACGATAAATGTAACCGCGTTTAATTTCGCTTCGACTCAACGAAGCTACTACAGCCACGTACAGCAGCAGCAGAGTTTGCAGCACCACCACCAGCCACAACATTTTTACAACAACATTGACTCAGCCATCTCTACTAATGTTTACGTTGATAAAACTTGCTCACCAACTGTAGCCACCATCACTGACATCATTAAGATGAACTTCACCGCCTCTGGTAGCAGTAGTGGTAGTAGTGGTGGTAGCTACAACAACAACAACAACAACAACAACAACAACAACAACAACAACAACAACGACAACAACAACAACAACAATAGTGGAAGTGATGGCAGCAGTGGTGGCAGCCACAACATTCGCGTTTGCAGTGACGACAGACGCGAGAAGTTGGTGCATTCGTCGAAAAGTCACGCGTTGAAGTTGCAATTTCATGGTGGGGGGGAGGAGATGCTCCTACGCTATAGAGGTTTGTATCTCTGTATGCGCGTTTGTATGCGCGTGTGTGTGTTTGTATGTGTGGTTGTATGTTTACATTCGAGTTGCATGTTTGTATGTTTGTTTCATAGTTTGTATATTTTTTACATTTCATTATCGTGTAAGTTTTTTGTTATTTGTATTTTATGTCAGAAATATGACTGCATTCATTTTTATGCCCCGCGTATGTGAGGTAGTTGTTATCAAATAATGTAACAAAATACGACATGAGAACAAACCTTGTGTACGTACGTGCGTGTGTGCGTGTGTGTGTACGTGTGTGTGTGCGTGTGTGTGATGTGTTTTTGTTTAAAAATTTGTTTTTTTAAAATGTTTCGACGAATCACATAAACAACTCCATTTTAATCACATCGACAAAATTATGACAACAACACAAACAAACTACATACAATCAAACATACACACACACTTACACGAACACACACAATCGAACACACACAATCAAACACACACACACACATGCAGAGAAGCACATATAACTGCATGTTGAGATAAAAACCTGCCTCATAATGTCCTCTTTACATGCACACAACTCGCCAAACTACCCTGTTGTAAAAAACTGAACAAAAATGCAAACAATAATAATATTTTAAAAGAAAAAAAAACAACAACAATAACAACAACAACAAAACAACAACAACAATAATAAATAATAAATAATTGGAACAGATCTTTTATTTTTCATCAAATGCCTAAAATCAATAATTAATTAGTTAATTAATAGAGAAATAGTCATGGTTAAAATGAAATCATAATCATCAATTGCTTAAAAATGTTCACAATTAAAATTTTTTTTAATTACTTAAACATAATTTAATGAAGATAAAAAAGAACTCAATGGAAGTTTATTAATTATCTATGGACTCCCATTAGCAATGGTAGAAACGACAAGGTTGAAAAATATTTCCAACAAAATTTTCCTCCATAAACCGATGGCGAAATGACAAAAATGCCCGTGAAAAATAGAAAAAGTTGGAAAGAAGCCAGAAATGGAACTTCAATAAAATCAATTCAGGAGGCACTTCAAACATCTGCCATCTCCATAAACTGCATACCGAAAACTGCAGACCGGACAAATACAAATTTATGAAATCAATTTATTCAATAACATACACAATTCATACGCACATGCGACCGGCTCAAAACACAAACACAATGTGAAGCATACAATTAACAAACAACTAACACACACATACAACCACCACACAACGTGCATACAACGAACGGCATATGCCCTGGACATACATTACAATATACAACAGGCACCCATTCAGTACACACACATAAACACACACACACACACACACGCACACACACACGCACGCACACCCAGACAACAAACATATTCTCACACAAAACACACAACATACACAACATACACATTGCACTGCATACATACATACGTACAACAGGCTGTACATAATTGCATTGCAACAAGCATACTTCAAACTCCTAAACCAGAACCCATCATCAAAATTCATCAACCAAAACTTATTTTGTCTTACTTTAGTTTCGTATGAATGTCTTTCATTAGAAACTAAATAAATTTACGACAAAATGAATTTTGAACGAAATGAATTTACTCGAAATTTAAATTATACCCAAAATTATGATGCGGAAATCCATTTTCACAAAATTATTTAGACGAAATGATATTTTAAGATGAAAAGAATTTCAGAGAATGAGAATTTTATAAGAATGAACTTTTGATGAAATAACTGTAAATGATTAAATATCGAACCGAAACATCAACCGCGCAAAAAAACACTGACTCAACGAAACAAACAAACGAACGAACAACGTGAACAAAAACAACAAACACACAGCAAACAAAAGAACAGCGTGAACAAAAACAACAAACAACACACCAAGCAATCCAGTTTAACAACATGGACAAACAGACACCCAGACATGCACCTTCTCAAATGACACTGAAATGTAAACAACTTCCGACGTCACGTGGTTTCATTTGCTGCTGACGTCATCGTCACACGTGACCGATACAACAAAAACAACAACACAAACATTAAGACCTGGATCTTTATACAACGTCCTGATCCAATCTTACGTACTAGAAAACATTTTTAAACATTTGTTTAACGCAACAAATTGAAGAAACACACATTTTAAAAGTTCGTATCGCTACTACGACAACCAACAAAAATGAACATCCACGTAAGCACTCACTGCAATAAACACACACACCAACACACACACACCAGCAAACAACACCAAACAAAACAAAAGGCCATACATATCTGTGATAATAAAGGTTAAAGATTACTCTCTCTCTTTTGCGTTTGCGTCAGAGGTTTCAACGACAAACACACACAGCGTACATGAATACGCGTGCAAACCACGCATCATACACATTGCATATGATAGGCGGGGATCTCTTTGTATTCGAACCCAGTCATCGCAATAGCAAGACCAGGTGCCTTTAACCATTGAGCCATCACGCCGCCCCGCATAACAGGGCACAATCAGAAATGAGTAAAAACTCCCCAATCTGAGTGCATGCATGCATATCACAACATAAACTAAAAGCAAAAACTAAAATTTAAATATATTATACTATATAAAATTTGGATTTAATATATGTAAAACTATTCAAATGATGAGGGATTAGCATGAAAAAAAAAACTCGCTATCAACATTTTTCAAATTAACAAATCATTCCCAGCCGTAAAACTCTGGATCCGTTTATGCTGGTTGTGTGATTTGAAACTTTTTATGAGAAGTTTTATGAATGGTTTGTAATTATTTAAAATGTCTTATTTTCTGTATTTAGAAAAAAGTATTTTAATTCAATTTGTGGAATTAATGCTCCATTTAAAACGTCAGCAATCGATCATTTATTTTTAAAATTGTTCAAACGAAGCATTGCTTAAAATTCAGTGTTTACAAAAATATATTTAAAAACAACAGCAGGTAGCAGTGAATACACTTAATAAAATAACTGAAAATATTTTAAACAACACAGGACGAAACACATATACACACAGCAACACGCAACAACACACAGCACACAGCAACAAAACAGCAACGTGCAACAAAACACCGCAACACGCAACAAAACAGCAACATACAACAAAACACTGCAACATGCGACAAAACACCGCAACAAGACACCACAAAACGCAACAAAACACAGCAACACGCAACAAAACACGGCAACACGCAACAAATAACTTTGTCGTAACAACATTGAAATAAACAATTAAACAAAATATGAAAACAAAATATGATGAATTCACAATCTACAACAACAACTAACACAGCAGCAACAAAGATAAAAAACAACATAGAACAATAATAATCAGCAACTACATCTTTTAAGACATCAAACAATATGTTCAACATGTCAGGCAGGAAAATAATTACATTTAAAATGAGTAACATATGATGTTGGTTATTGGGTATTATTGTTGTTGTTGTTAATGATGTTGTTAGTGATGTTTTGTTGTGGTTGATGTTGTTGTAGTAGAAGTAGTAGTTGTAGTTGTTGCTGTAGTTGTAGTTATTGATGATGTTGTTGTTGTAGTTGTTGTTGATGTTGTTGATGTTGTAGCTGTAGTTGTTGTTGTGACAAACACAACAGAGAACCTCCTCTGTGCGTCGGACCTTCAACTTTATAATGATTAATAGCTTTTGAAAAACATTGTTGTAATTTAAGTTCTAAAATAAATCAACGGTTGTTTGTGGTAGGAACCGTGTCACCACA